GGTGGGCCCTGGGGAGATGCTGGGGCCCTCACTGTGTCTGTGTTTCAGGAGGAAGCCTCGAGGCTGAAGCAGGACTCGGGTGCCCTGCTGGCCCTGGTGGACACGTCCCTGTCGCAGTACCGGGGCCTGCGGGGCCGCCTGGGGCAGTGGGAGCAGGAGGCCAAGGAGCTGCTGCAGGGGCAGGAGGGCCACAGAGCGGTAAGAGGCTGCCCAGTGAGGGCTCATCCCATCCCCAGCAGGAGCTGCAGCCTTGGGGGTGCCTGTGGCCCCACCATGTCCTTGTCTGGCTGTCAAAGGCAGCTCTGCCTGCCTGGTGCAGGATTGGGCCCTTCCTTGGGGCTGCAGAGCTCAGTGTGTGCAGGAGCTGCTGGTGCAGGTCTCACCTGCATTCTCCTCCATGAAAGGCAGGATGAAGACCTGCTCCTGCAAAGATTAGAGCTAAAATGACTCAGGGTAGAGCTGGAGCCGGTTGAGGAGCACGGGCACAAGCTTCTGATGGTAGATCAGCCTGTGGTGGCCTTGATTAAGGGCAAGAGCAAGCATTTGGGAACAGACTCTCGGGCCTCTCCAGCCCAGCTCCTCCCAGACTGCTCTGGGACTGTGTGATGCTCCCATACCACATCCTTCACCTGCCCTTTGTGTCCCTTGGTGCATTGCAGAAGCTGACACAGCTGCTGTCCCGAGCTACCCTTGCCAGGAGCACAGCCCTGCAAGCCGTGAGCACTGGCAATGCCACCTTCTACGAGGTGGAACAGATCCTCAAGAGCCTCAAGGGTAGAATCCTAGAAACCCTCCCTTTTCCTTTCCATGTGGGATCTCACAAAGGTACTATGGCTTCATTTCCACATGTGTTTCTTCCAGAGTTCAACCTGCAAGCAGATGACAAGAGGAGGCAAGCCAAAGATGCCATGAGGAGGCTGCCCATTATCAGTAGCATGGTCACCACTGCCAGGGAGAAGACAGACCAAGCCAAAGGGATCGTGGGCAGAGCTGCTTCTGAGTCCAAGGCAGGCAGCAGTGTGGCAGAGGAGGTGAAGGAAATCACCAAGGGGATCCAAGAGGTGAGGACAGACCCTGGTGCTGTTACTGGCAGAAAAGGATTTGGAAGGGGAAAAACATGGAAGAAGAGGAGATGGTTGGCAACCTCTTGGTGGACCTGATGGGTTGATTTTTGAGCTGAAGTTTTTCTACAGTGGGTCCTGCAGATATAGTTTGGCTGTAGGTAATCTCTGCGGCACATTTCTTCCATGAGGATCTCTGTGGCATCTCACTGTAGCCACCTTTCGGTGACCAAGGGGACTTTTTTACTCCTGCAGCCAGAGTCACTGGCAGGCTTGTGCTGTCCCAAAATGGTGTTTGTGGGTTCACCTCCCAGATGTGTGCTGTAATTCCCCAGGGATTTGCTGATGTGTGAGGGAGGGATTGAGCCATGAGCATAGAAACATCTCTCTGGAGATGTTGGTGGGAGAACATGAGGACAGCTTGTGATCTTTTGGATCCCTTGTAGAAGGACCAGTTTCTACCAGTTCCCTATTAATGTGCACCCGGAATGACTTTGGTTGTGTTCTGCCCTCTAAAAGTGCCTTTTCCTCAACACAACCCCAGGAGATTGCCCGGCTGAGGGAGGAAGCCAACAAGACAGCTGATGGTGTCCTGGCCCTGGAGAAGGCAGTGGCCACCCTGCAGCTGGAGGCCAAGGAAGTGGATGAAGCATTTGAGAGGAAGCTCTCTGAGGCTGCGGCAGATGCTGCTGCCATAGAGAAGGTGGGTTCCCATCTCCCTTACCTTGTCTCCTCCCCTGTTGATTGTGGGCTTGATTGCACCTCACAGCTCCTGCCTTTCCTCCTGCAGACAGCTCAGGAAGCTCAGAGGGTCCACGACAAGGCTGGCCAGGCAGGGGCAGCTGTGCAGCAGGTGCTGAGTGCCCTGGAGGAGCTGCTGCGGCTCATGAGTAGGTTTTGTGATGCCTCTGTGGGGTGTGGATGGAGACAGGTCCTCTCTGGGGTCTAGGCAGGGCTTCTGGGAAGCTAGATTATGTGATGCCTGTGAACAGGCTGGGCAGCAGGGTGGGGATGAAGTATCTGGGAAGATCTAGTCCTCAGCCTCCATGCGTGCTTTCCCATTCCTTGTTTTCCTTCTGTGCCAAAGACCAGCCTGGTGCTGTGGATGAGGATGGCCTGAGGCAGCTTGAGGAGAACTTCAGCAAAGCCCAGAGCAGAAGCAAGCAGCTGAAGGTGGAGATGTCAGAGCTGGAGCAGACGGCTGCCCTGCAGAAGGCCCGGGTGCAGACACTGGAGAGCAGCATCGATGGCATCCTGGCTGATATTAAGAACCTGGAGGATATCCAGAGGAGTCTTCCTCCAGGCTGCTACAACACAAAAGCCATTGAATTGCCCTGAGCCAGTTCTGGAAAGGCTGCAGCACCTGCCAGGCTGAAGGCAGGAGGGCCTCCCCAAACCTGGCAGAACTGGCTGTGTTTGTTGTGTTAAACTGATCCTTACCCTCAAGATCAGTGTGGCACATGAAGTTCACAATGTTCCGCTGGCCCTGGAAAATCCCTAAGTTTTCAAAGTGCTCCGTCCCTTGCTCATTGGAGGAAGGAGACTCCTGGTTTGTGAAGGTGCTACTGTCTGAAGAACAGCCCATCCCTACAATATATCTCTGACTGCAGGGTTAGGTGTCAGCCTGGTGAGTTTGCACAGTTTGGACCCTGAAGCTCATAACTGACAGGTTCCCATCACCTGTGGCTGCCCTGTCCTGGTCCAGCGCACACAAAGTATGGGGTCTCTGTCCATACTTTTGACACTGCCACCACCAGCTCCTCCTCCTGTTCTCCATGGGGTTTCCTCACCTTTGGCAGTGACAGGGAGTGAGCAGTACGAGAGGCTGCTGGGAGAGATGAGTTCTGAGTTGTGGCACTGGTGATGCTTCATGCAGTGTCTCCTCCCAGGCTGGAGTCTTCCCCTTGATGGGGGTGGTGCTGGCATTCCGTGGCTCTTGTACCTGAGAGCCCCATCCCATTCTGCTGCAGTGCCTGTAACCTGTTTCATTAGTTTAAAAATAGTGAAGATGTCTTGAATGTGTCTCCACCTCTGATTTGGTGCTGCCTCTCCTCCCCCACTCCCTCATGGTTCTGCATGTTTATCAGAGGCCACCACCACCACTAAGGTAGCTCTCCACAGGGGTTTCCCACTGTTCACCTTAACAGAGCTTGGATGAGGCAAAGACCACAGTGCTCCCTTCACTGCAGCTCCCACCTGGGTCCAGCTGCATTCTGGGGCACTGCACACTGCTCCCACCTTCCTTCAGATGCCATGCAGGGGAAAAAAGTTTCAGGGGAAATAGGTGCCACCAGATGCTGGAAGCTGAAGCTCTACTGGACCCCTGCCTTGTGTGCTGGCAAGAGAGGAGGTCCCAGATGGAGAAGGACACTGGGGACTCACTTACCCCTCCTTATCTCTCAAGTCTCTGATAAAGTGGTATCTGATAAAGCACCATCCATGCTTTTGCTTCATGATATACTGAGTATTATATCTGCTTTGCTCTTTTATTTAAGTGAGATGTATTTTAGGCCCTGCCATGTGTCCCTTCTCCTGTTGTACAGCACAGGGACAGCTATTAGGGAACCTGTTTTTCCATGAACTGGCTTTTTTGAAAGGCAGGTGTAGGCACACAGTGTGTGGTGAATGTGAGTGGGCTGGCCCAGCCTCATCCCCAGTGGGTGCAGCTGTGAGCAGCAGGTGAGCAGCACTGACAGCAATGAGCCATGGAGTGCCCAGGGGCACTGAGCAGCCACCAAAGGGAACAGAGGGCACACAGGGCAGGGCACCAACAGGAGGGAATAACAGGCTGGGCTGGAGAACAAGAAGGGTGGATGCTTGCAGCCTGGTGTTGTTCTGTATGGGTTGAAGCTTTCTGAAATTGCATGGTGATACGCTGTGTACCATGGCTGTCTCAGCTGCGACAGGTAAGAGGTCAATAAATGATCAATACTCTTGGCTAGATCTTGCTTATCACTTTCTTTTTTCAGGCTTCCTCATTTGGGGGGATTTGGCCATGGGTTATCCCAGCAGTGCAGGCATTTGCTCTCTTGTTCTGACTCAGTCTTGGGGCTGTTTTAAAATCACACCAGTAATATCTCTGTTTTGTTTTGTTTATTACATAATTTAAACATTTTGCTGATAAAGTATTTTTTGTCAATGACTGTTTTTTCATATAGCAACAGAAAAAAAGAAAAAAAAGGCTCCAAAACTTTTGACAAAGGTGAAATTGGTGGCATGGCAATTTCAACCCCTTTCCCTCCCCCCTTTATTAATTTTCTTTTCCCAAAAGACGTTTGAAGTTCATTTCACTTTCAGCAAATTGACTGTTAAAAAGTGGCGGTTCAAATACCAAAACCCACGAGCTTCTTCCCATGCCTCTCCTGCACCCTGGACACCCCCATCCTCACCTCCCCAGCGGTCTCATGGATCATCACAGATGATTATTTTCTTCCCATGCCCACCCAAATACATTTTTCCAAACCAGTCCCAGAGCTGAAAGCCCCATTACAAACCCCCATCCCTCCCCCCATCCTGTGAGTTTTACTGAGCAGATATGTGAAGGTAAGAGCAGAACAAACTCCTCATCCTCACCACAGCTAAGCTTCACCATCCCAACCATGTGGATCAGGAGGCCATGGCATTCCCAGGTCCCCTTCTGTGTACTGGAGGGAGGGTCAGATATGATTTTTGGTGCATTACTCTTTCTTCCCTCCTCTCCATTGTTAATTTTCTGTCTTTCCTCGGGGAAAACCCGCTGTCCTTGCTCCCACCTCAGAGGTTTTGCTCCCCAGGAGGTTCAGTCCCTCTGTGTGTTTTGGAGGCTGATTGCCATCGCTGGGCTTTGAGCTAAGGAACACACGGGACATCTGGAAGGAGGAGAGGCTGCTGTCTGGGATAACTTGTGTGTTGGGGTGGGGAGGGAAGGGGGGCTGACAAACAGAACATGGGAGTACAGCAGGTGCAGAGCAGCCCAGCGAGTGGCTGACACACCCTGGGTGTCTCAGGGCACTCACAGGTGTCACTGCCAGGGGACATCAGTGGGGTGGTGGTGACCTTGCTGAAGGCCTCCCAGGAGCAGAGTCCCCCACACACTCACCACCTTCTCTGCTTTGGCATCTCCATATCTCCTCATCCTATGGGATATGTACTCAACCGCCTGGAGATACCAGAGCTGGCACTGGGGGACTCAGCTGCCAAATTTAGAACAGTTCCCAAAGAAATTTCTCCGTGCAGAGGGAAATCCCTGACAAGGAAACACTCTCCTGACCTTTGGGTGAGTCACATCACTTCTATCTTTCTGGGAAGGGCCGTGCCTTCCTGAGAAGTTGTGAACTACTGCTCCTAATATCCTGTCTGCTGCAAGGACCCTGTGGGTTTCCTTGTTTGTCCAAGGTGGCTTGCTGTTCCAGGGATGCCAGCAGCACCCAGCAGGTCACCAAATTGAGCACAAAGTCCCACCTTGGGAGTTTGCTTGAGAGCTTCTTGTGACGCTTTATGGACTTTTAAGGGACAAAATAGAAGAATTTTCACATTTTTCCTTGAAAGACTCTGGAGGACTCTCACCCACAGCAGAAGGACTGTACCCAAAGTGATCCAAGGTTACAGGGAGCAAAGGGAGAGGAGAAGGTGAGGGCCAGACCTTCCTGGTGGCTGTGACCCTTCCCAGGAGCTGTTCAGGGTCCTTATGCCCTAGGGATGATCTGCAGGACACGGCCCTGCTCCAGCAATCCTCCTCTCCACAAGACTCCAGTAACTGTTCTCATTACCTGTCCTGCTTTCACTGTGAGCATCTCCACTAGGATCCATCCCCGGCATCAGGGGGAGTACCACAGGAGCCTGGCTTGTCCCAAGGAATGTGCAAAGCAGCCAGGGCTGGCTTGGGAGGGGGTGGTTATCATGCATTTAATGAGCTCTTCAAGGAGAGGCAGAGAGTAGGAATGGCAGGAGAAGATGGATGGAGCAGAAATGGAGATCTGGAGGGTAGAGGATGGGGATGGACACGGCCAGGTTTGGGGTAAATTCTCACCAGAGGCTTTGGCTCGCCACCTGCTTCTTTCTACCCTATAATTTCTTGGCCCCATGAAAGGCAGCTCCCTTTCTAGGTGCTGTGGGATAGAACATCACCCCAACTTCACTATCTTAGGGAGTGGCTTCAGTTCTTGCAGCTAGGGGAAGGTGAGATGTGACATTCTCTCCATAATGCTTCAGCAGCAGGGCTCACCAAGGCCTCTGCTGCCTTTTAGAAATGCCCTCTCCATGATTTTCAGGGGCAGGAGGAGGGTTTTGTTAGCTGGGTTGTCTCATGGCTGGCCTGAGGAGGTTTCCCCTGCCGTGAGGCACTGAGCTGGTTGTGTTACAACTGTCTGCTGCCAGCCAGGGTTTGGTTGGTCACTGGGCTGAGAGGCTCAAAGGGCTCACACTAAAGTTACTTAATAAAAAAAAAATCCACCCAGATTTATTGAGCTTAGGTTGTGTAAGATGATGCAGAATAGGCAGCCCTGCCCTGAGCATGCTGGGAAGATGGACTGAGGGGACCATTTCCCAGGGACATGCTGGGAGCACACGGAGCACGTCGCTCCCTGAGCAGCCCCCCTCCCTCCCCATGCACGCAGGGCAGGGCAGTGCCCCAGAGCAAGAGACCAAACCATTCCCTGGACAGGGCTGCACAACAGAGTGTTGGTGCTGGGGGTGAGAGGCAGACACGGGCAGGAGGCCATGGGATGGGGGACAGATGGAGACACTGAGAGAGAGAGAGAGGGGTGATGCAGAGCTGCAGGCAGGCGGGACACAGGGCTGTCTCGCTGCGAGGGCTCGGGCTCTTAGCCAGAGGCGTTGATGTACAGCTGGCTCTTGAGGATGTAGTCAATGACAGGCTGGCAGAGGTAATCCACAACGTGTCCATCCCCGTGCTGCAGGGCCAGTCTGGGCGTGTGGGGAGAGAGAAAGGTGTCAGAGCCCACTTGGGTGGGTCACGTGTCCCTGCAAATGGAGGGGCTGGCTGGGGACACCCTGCTCTGTAGTGGGAGTAGCTTCACTCACCTGCTTTTGGTGGAGCTGACAACTGACATGGGGTGGTTTGAGTCGTCCTTCACCACCAGGATGTTGTTCTGCAGGGGAAACAGGAAAAGAGGAGTGAAGGGATGGCTTGAAAGCAGGTATCTGCTGCTCCAGCCTCCCCACCCTGCTGTGTGGTGACCCATTGCTCATCCCATCCACCAGCCGAGAGCACCTGACCCTGAGATGCTTTGTGTCCCATGACACAAGTGTCTCCCTGGATGAGGAGAGACTGAGAGTCCTCTCTCAGCCCTCCCTGGGCACACGTGCACCCCCTGACTCACTTTGTACTTGCGGAGGATGGAGGAGTGGTTCATGATCCGCTCGGGGTCGGCTCCATCCCGCGGCACCACCACGATCCCAAACTCCCCGACAATCACCTCCATCTGCCAGCAACACAAAGTGTGGAGAGCTTCAGAGCCACCCCATGCAAAACCTCCCACTGCCTGCCAACCCCACCCTGCCCCGAGAAAGCTGGACCATGGTCTGGAGGGAGATGGGGAGTGATTTTGAGGCTATGTCACCGGCCTTGGCAGAAACATGGAGTTGTGCAGGCAAGTGGTTGGCAGTAGATCAAATAAAAGGCACAGGGTTAAATCCTACTAGTAGACATTGAGGTCAGGCTTTGAGGAGAACTTGTGGCAGAAGGAGGTGGCAGCAGGTGAGGTTGCCCAAGGTGAATGTGATCTCTGCCTGGCTGGAAGGGTTCATGAGCAGGATCGATGTATTTGTCCTGACAGAGGTCTGGGAGGATTGCTTTTCCAAGCTTGTTTGGCCAAATTTGCTGCTGCATGAGGAGCACTCATAGTGCTCACACCTCTCTCAGATGAGACGAATCAGGCTCATCCAAAAGAGCTTTGGGTCAGCAAGTTCAGGCAGCAGGAGTCTATGAGGAGGTGCTGCTGCAGAAAACATCTTCTGCCTGGGCTTTGATGTCATTTCTGCATCCTTTGTGCTGGGCTCAGGGCTTGGCTCAGCTCATTTCAGTTTTTCCAGCCCTTCAAATAAGATACCTGCTGCCCAAATGCTTTAAAAAGTTAAGGATTGAAGATGCGGTAAACTGATTTTTGAAGGCTGAGAAGTTCAAGGAGGGAGGTTTGTGTTGAGTGCCTGATTTCAGGGAGGAGCTGGGGGAGCCCTCACAGCCAGCATGGCTCCAACCAGGAGCAGCAGGTGGGGCAGCAGCCCAGGGCTGGTGTTCTCCCATGAAATTACAGCTTCTTCCAGCAAGGAACAACAGTGAAACATGTTGATTTGGCTCTAAATATGTTTAATTCCTAACATCTGAACCACTCCTGTAAATACCTTATTTCCTACCTGCACACCTCACTCTGCTGGGATTGGCAGATACTGACTTGATACTGGCTCCTTCCAAGGGACAAGGAGTGGGAGCACAGCCTTTGGAAATGCCTTGGGATGGGCTTACCCTCCACCCCAGGTGACATCCTCTGCATTAACAGGGTGCAGGGCTTGGGGCCATGGAAGCCCTGGGGAAATGTCTAGGGAAGATGACAGTCAGGGTAGGGATGGAGGAGGCAGTGGAGATGGTGGGCACAGCTTCTGTCATCCCAAGGGACCTGGTGGCTCCCAGGAGCCCTGGCTGTGGGAAGCAGAGGAGGAGGAGCATGGAGGGGTGCCTGGCAGTGGTGACTCACGTCTGCCTCGTTCCAGAGGCCGGGGATGCAGAAGGACTCCAGCAGGTCGCTGCCACAGAGCAGCAAGATGCGCAGCTCTGAAAAGAGAGGAGAGAAGCCCAGAGGTGGGAACACAGGGGGCTGAAGGAACCTCCTCCCCCACACCCAGCTTTGAGGGTTGGCTTTGCAGCTCAGTGAGAAAATTGTGCTGTGGGAACTTTTCTGCTCTGACAGGCCCATAAAGATTAATTTATTTGCACAACTGCCAGACAAAAGCCATAACCCCCCAACTGCTCCACCTAAGAGGGATGAGAAAAGGTGGCTACATGGGAAAATGCCTCCCTATTTGGCATTCCCAGGTGGCCAAAGCCTTTAGACTCTACATGGTGCTAGTGCTAGGATGGCTGTAATCCCAGGCTGTGCCTGAAAAGGGTCACAAAACCACCGGTAAAGTCCCCATGCAGAGCTCTGGGTGACGTCTGGTGGGGCTAAAACCCTAAAAGCCTTTAGAGCAAGGGGCACCGTGGCTGGTCAGGCAGCCAAAATCTCTCCTGCTGCTGTGTGAAGCTCTGCAGGGCTGCAGGCAGTGTGGGCATGGGGTGACACCACCATGGAAGCCGAGTTTGATGGCACTTGAGGGGACTGTCAGGACAGGGTGCCATGGCAGCTCTGTGCCAGTGCTGGGAGCTGTGTCCCCAGCACTCCCTTATCTCAGGCTGCTGTCTGTCATGGGACAAGGCTCAGCCCAGTTGGAGCTGTTTCTGTGGCATTCCTGAGCCCCAGTAGCTGGCACCGAGGTGGGATGCTGTGTCTGCTAGAGCTGCCATGCAAATGCCCCCAAGCCATACAGCACTCACCCAGGAGTGGGAGCAAGGTGGAGAGGGGTGTGCACTTACCAATCTCCTCATATCTCATCACTGTCCCCAGGTTGGCATTCTCATCTGGGAAAGGGCAGCAAAAGAGAGGTGCTGGTGCCCAGCCTGGAAGAGGGCTTTGGAGGAAGGGAGGGGAGGGGGTCTCTGGAGGAGATGCTGGACCTTTCCTCTACGTACCCACAAAGGTGAAGCGTTCCATGGGCGGACGAACGCAGCAAATCCGGCTCAGGCTTTCTCCCACCTTCCCCAAGATCTTTGCTAAAGGGGAAGAAGGAAAATTAATGGGAGGGAGGCTGTGCCATTAACCCTTCCACGTGCTTCAACCACCCTGGTTCTGCAAAATGCTCCTGTGCCTGGGTGTGCAACTACTCCCAGCATCTCCCAGCACCTCCTCTCATGGTCTTAACTCCCAGGAGTGCTCCACTGTGCCTTGAAGGGACCAGCTAGGCAGCTAAAATAATGAAGAAAATCATAATATGTCAATTTTAATGGGATTTAAGTAATGTTCCCTCTTCTCAGCTAATACCTTTATGATACACATCCCTCTGACTTGTAGGGATTCCCACTGCATCATCTCTCCTGCCAGTTCATCCCTTGATACCAGGTAGCCTTTCCTTTTGTAGGTTTCACTGCCTAGACGTCATCCAGCTGAAGTCCAAGGAGATTTCACAGCCATTTTAAGCTGTTCTTGGCTTCTGCCCTTGCTGTGCTGGATGCTGACTCCTGCATCACAGCCCTGCCCCACCCTGGACTTGCTGCACCAAAACTGATGAGACACCTGTCCAAAATTAAGGTGATGGAGCACTGTTCTAATATTTGGCAGCCCAGGCTGGGAGGTGGGGGTAAGCAGCCAACCCCTGTGTGCCCTGTGGCACCCCACCCACCTGCAGTGGGCTTGCTGGAGGTGCTGTTGTTGTTCTGGTAGATGTTCTGCGAGGACTCGTTCTGGGGCTGCCCAATCACAGGGGTGATGGAGGGCGTGTTGACATTGGACAGTATGCAGCCAGTCACTCTCTGCAATCAGGGAAGGATGTAATTGGAACAGTGTCTTCACCCCAGCAACCTCACAAAACCTTTCTGACCCTCTCAGCCCTGGTTCAAGGTTACCTTTGGTGACAGGCACATCCCAGCTCACTTTAGGGTGCCCAGTCCCATCTGACCTCACCAAATGGGCCTTGGGGCTATCAGGACCCTGTGGATAGCCTGTGACTTCTGTTTAAGGTGGTATCAAGCTTTTTGTGTGGACTAGCAAGGAGCATGCATGTTCTCTTCTGCTCCACCCATCCCTGCAGGAAAAGGAAGGTATCACCAGCAACTCCCTGGCTTCAGCACCACAGTGCCTGGATGCACTGGACATCCTGCTGGGCTGGCTAGTGCCACTCCTGTGCCTCCTGTCTGGGCTGTCTGTGAGCTTGTACAATGCTCTTTCATCCACTTCCTTTTCTTCCTATATCTGAGTGTACCAGCAGCTCTGCTACCCCTGCCACCCAAGGGCAGGCATTTTCCTCCTTGGCTTTCAGCACTGCCTGAACTTTTCCTCCTGGGGCTGTGCTCCCTGGGGACTTCCCAGATGCTGAATTTTCCTGTCAGGTCTCTTTTTCAGGTTTATACAGTAGTTCTGGCTCAGCTGGTGAGCGGGGAGGCCCCTCTCTCCCTCCCTCCCTCCCTCCCTCAGGGAGGGGGAAGCAGGGTGTCACTAATGATGTGCCCACCCCTGCTTTGAGTCTGCCTTAAGCCCTGCTCCCCTCCTGGTGCTGCTGGGTCCAGGATGGCTGCTGGCTCCAGCTGGAGGGCTCCTTTCCCTTCTGCCATCAGGGCCCAGACCACAAAGCAGCTGTGACAGTCTCACCCCTTCCAGGTCAGGATCTCTCTGTGTTCCTGCAAGACTTCTCACTGTCAGTCTCTGCTGTATTTCTTCTTGCTCTCAATCTCTGATGTGTTTTGGCTGTTGATGGCCCTGAGCTGGGGAAGGGCACCCCGACCCCTGCACTGAACCCATGCCCTCTCCCTGGTGCACCCATGGCTGCCTCACCTTCATCAGGTCGCGGTGGTGCTCCAGCACGCTGCAGGTGGTCTGCCAGGTGTCCTGGTAGCACTCCCAGGGGTCCACCCTGCCAGAAGCACAGCAAGGCAACAGTGCAGCTCATGGCCACTGCCTGGACTTCCTGCCCATGCCCCCTCCTCCCCAATGGGCTGGCCAGCAGGGCCATGGGCAGCCATCCTCCATCCCTCAGCCCTGGCATGGACCATGTCCTTCCCCCAACCCTTCTGCACAGTGATCCCTAACAACTCTGGAGACCTGAATGTGTGCCTGGTCATCTTTCCATGCTTGGTACCCAACTAACCAGCATTTTTTGGATTTTGATGTGAGCATGTGTGTCATAACCCTCTTTCTGAGGGCAGCCCAAGATGCTTCTGGCATCCCTTCAACAACCAGATGCCACATGGCAATGCTGGGAAGGTGAAAGTCTGTTGGCTGGTGCTACATGTGTGGACAGGGAGGTGCCACAGCACAAGGCTGGAGTGAGCTGAGTGACATTGGGTATCACCCAGACACCTCAGGCTCAGTTAGGGCTTGAATGACTCCCCAAATCCCGAAGGGTGGTGTAACCCTCCTCATCTGTTCTCTGCTGGACTGGGAGGGGAAAGTCTCTAATGTTTGGGCTGGGGGGAAATTCATCCTGGAGCTGTGCCAGCTGGTGGCATCTCCACTGTACATGCAGGACTTTGTGCCCAGGGTGCAGGGGAGGGGCAGGGGCTGTGGTGGGTGCCATGGCAGTGCCAGCTGTGCCACCCACCTGATCCAGTCGGAGGACTGCACAGCCAGCTGGCACATGGTCAGGCGGTGCCGGCTGGAGACCAGCCCCTGTGCGAGAAGGGAAGGAAGAGCGCTCATGAAGCCTTGTGCTCTGGCCAGCCTGGGCTTGCAAACCCTTCTGGGGCAGAACATCAGGCTCACTAGTGTGGGACAGGCCAGAAGGATTCCTTCCTGCTCACAGAAGTTTATTTAAGCTCCTGTTTGCTGGAGGGGAGGAGTCTCTGTTGGGCTCAGCCCTGGCTATGTGCTGAGGTGGGGAGATTTGCTCAGCAGCACCACTCCCAGACCTGGGCTCCAATGGGGCCAGCCTGAGGGGGTGATTTCTTGATGAAATTCCTCCAGCTTTCAGGAGACAAGTGAGCTCACCACTCCTAATTTGACAAATGCTCCTAAAGGTCACTCATAATTGCATAATTTTGATATCCCCTCCTCCCCCCCAAAAAAACCCTAACCCTAACAATTTGCTTTGAAATAATTAAAATGAAAAAAACCCCACCAACCCCCACCTAAGGCATCACCATCACTACTGTTTTGAATGGACTGTTTCTCTTTGCTGCCTAGTACTTTGGCTCATTTTAGGGTCTCACTGCAGTTTCTATCTAAACAATGAGAGGTTTCATCCTCTCCCTTCTCCCCGAGACTTTCCCAAGGTCAGGAGCTGCCCCAGGCAGAAGAGGGCCATGAAGGGACCGTGAGTCAGGCAGTGCTGCCCAGTGCTCAGCCCTAATTTTGGAGGCAGGGAGGACGTGGGGACAGCTCACCGTTTTCCCATAGGAGTCGTGCACGGGCGAGACGATGCCACCGATGACGATGAAGCGTCCGGTCTTGTGCAGGTAATCCCGGGCTCGCTCTGGAGAGGGCACAAGGAGAAGGATGGAGGGGGTTTAGCAGGACCCACTGAGCCCTGCAACACCAGCCATGGCCCAGCCAGTCCCTCACAGCTGTACAGCTGCTCCGCCCCTCCCTGGCCTGTGTCAGCCCCATGTGCTGCCCATGTCCCAGCACCGTGTGCCACCCATGTCCCAGCTGTGCTAAGAGATGTTCAGTTTCAGGCTGGTATTTACCTAAAGGTGACATTTGAGGATAAAAGTGCTGGTGACAAATTGCCAAACCCACCTGGTCTGCTACATATCTATCCCAGCTATTGAGACAGTACCAAGGGAAAAGATAAGGAAAGTAAGAGCAAAAAGGCAGATAAGATTGATGAGACATTAGAGAGATAATTTTTTTCTTCAAGATCTATAAAATATTTTGGATTTGCAAGCATCCAAAAGAATGCAAAAGAAGCATTTCTGAAATGGAGGTGGTGATTTCAGGATCCATCAGCCATCCCAAGATGTGACCCCACATCCTTCAGACACTGAATTCAGTGTCTGGCACTGCCCTAGGGGATGATGAGGGGTCCTTCCTGAAGGGTGGGTGTTCCCGGGGGGGCAGTGGTTGCTATATCCCTAGAAGCATCCAAGGCCAAGTTGGATGGAGCTTGAAGCAACCTGGGTGAGTGGAACACATCCCTGCCCATGGCAGGGGCTGGAATGGGATGAGCTTTAAGGTCCCTTTCAACCCAAACCATTCCAGGATTCTAAGTCACTTGGGCAATTTTTTTTCATCCAAATTTTGAAATTTCTGCTAGGGAATTTTATTCAGTTACTGTCAGTTAAAAGTAAATTAAGGGAATATAATTGCCATGGACCTTTTTTTCCCCCTCGAGGGCATTGAGCAGCCTCAGCCTGTGGGAAATTTGCCAGCCTTAATATAGCCTTTTCCTCAGACTCACCTGAAATCCTCACTCTGGCTGCCTTCCCAGCTCTTGTGCTTTGGACACACCAGCCTCCAGAGAGGGAAAAATGGGCTTAAATCATTTGATTGGTGCAGGGAGTAAAATCTGATTGCCTGAATTGGATGCACCAAAATTATCCTTCGTGCCCTCAAAATCCCATGAGAGCACATGCAGCAAAACACAGTATGCTTGGGTTTGGTTTTTTTGCACAGGTAGGGAGAAGTGAAGATTGATGGCTCAGCATTTACCTTTTTATCATAATGCAAATTAAAATGCAAATTAAAAGAAAAAGGAAATTCCCTAACAAAAAAGATGCCGTTGAGTTTTAAATGAACACATCCTTTCATTATTTCCTGATTTGCCCTGACTTGATTTTCCTTGACAAAGGAAGATTAAAAACACTGATCTGTCCCTCTTATGTCCCCTTTATGAAGTTCATCTTTCAGAGGAGCTGAACTCTTTGCATGTAAACTCTGCTTCAAGCTCTCTAGGGTGGCTGATGGTATTAATCTGCTCTGAGTTCTCGGTGGCAAAAGCCAAAGGTTTTCCCTGGTTTACCAATATCTCAAGGTCTGTATTTAAACAGCCTGGCACCCTCTCCACATCTTCAGGCAACGTGATCCGTGCTGCTGGCATGTCATCTCAGCTCCGGATTCCAGCTCACACCCAACATCCACCACCACCTTCTGCGTGAACAGAACATTTCTTCTGCAGAAAACAGGCACTGGAACAGGAAGCCCACAGAAGCTTTGGATTCCTCATGCTTGGAAGTGTCCAAGGCCAGGTAAGCAGGGGTTTGGAGCAATTTGCTCTAGTGAAAGGTGGCACTGAGGGGTTGCTGATGGCCTTGCAGCGCTCAGGGAGGTCTCTGTTTCTGGCAGAAGAGGAGTGCTGCTGCTCTGTATTGCCATCAAAACTGCTCATTTGGGTTTTAACCTGCACAGTCTGTAAAAATTAGGCTGCTTTCTAGGCTGGGATCTGAATTTCCAAGAGCTTGTTGTCTACCTCAGAAACACCACATATAATTTAAATATGCATGGAAACAGGAACACATTTATTGACAATTAAATCCCTGCAAGGGAAGTATTTGGGCAAATGAGGGCTAAGAAGCAGCAGTACAGTGTATGGAATGGGAACACCTGCCTTCTGGTTCTCTCTTGGCCATAACTTTCCATTCCTCTTTTCCTCTGTCACAGCTTCCCATCCCTTCCCCAGCCCACTTCTTGCCTGTTGAATACCTGTGATGTCCAGAGATTACACCAGATCACAGAAACCCCCTCCAGTACTTTCATTTTCTACGAGCGCTTTATATCCTGCCCCACCAATGCAAGGATGTCAGCCTGTAAATGCAGAGCCCATTCCTTGTCTGGAGTAAATTGTCTGCAATGCTCCAGGCAGCCTCCATGGCTTTCAAACATTGCTGACATAAATAAACCCGGGGTGGTGGCTCTGCCAAGACATGCATTAGCCCGCTGGCAGGCTCCTTGTGGCATGGGAGGCTTTCAGCCATGGCTCTGTGCCTGGCAGCTGCTGGATGGCCACAGCCTGGCTGTGCTGGGCAGGGAGGGGACAGGGGTGACACTTGCACCCATCCCAGCACTGGTGACACTTTCCTGCTTTCCCAGCCCAGCTTTGCTCGCCTGCCCTGCAAATGCACTTCAGGTATTTTCATCTCTGCTGCTTTCCTGAGGAACAAAGACAGGGAAAGACCAGTCAGAGGATACTATCGCTCCAGGGCTATAAAACTGAAAATGGTGGTTTTGTCCAGTTTGAATGAGAAAATAGCATCCCACTTGCCCAATAGGAAATCAGTCCTTTTTAAGAGACGTTACTTTTTGGAGGTTCTCACTGAGTATATTTAATCACAATGTTTGGGCTCCTCTGGCAGTGCTCCATCACCTAAACTGACATTACTGAAATCAAATATTCCTCATGTTCAATTTTTCAAGGTGTAATTTCAGATTGTATTTGCTTTGCCTTTGTACCTGGTTCATCTGCACCCCTAAGCCTTCCTTTTTTCTATTTTATTTTCTCCTTACAGAGTAAAGCCACAGGCCAGCTCTGATTTATGCCCTTCCCCCAGAGGGGATTGAAGCTGCAGCTTGCTCACACTGTGCCAGCTCTCTGAAAACACACACAAGGTAGCAGGGAGGCAAGAAAGCTCTGCACAGCCTTCATTGCACAGCCCTGAGAGTTGGGACAGAGAAATTGCATAGCCACAGGTGATGGAGAAGGCAAAACCATCTCCCAAGTGTCTCATTTTTATTTTCAGCAATTTGGCCTCTGACAACCTTGGACAAGAGGTGGGACATGGCCATTAAAATTCCTTCTTCTGCAGAAGAGAGTGACCCAGATATGCCAGCACACTTTGTTTTATTCTCAGCTAGCAGCACTTGCAGGACCTAAATGGTGCTTCCAGAGCTCAGTGTGGGCAAGGAGCCAGCAGTTACTCTCAGTCTAATTGAATGATGTGTATGTATATAGATATATATATAGAGATATTTTTTAAAAAAGCTCTCTCTGAATGCCAAATCAGGGATGTATTCATCAGAGGTGTCCTCCTCCCAGAGCCCAGCTCTCCTGCCTAGCCCAGAGCCTTGTTCTGGGTCCCAAGCAGTGTCCTCACCCACTGTCAGATCTTGGTTAGTGCTGGGAACACTATTGGCATCTCCCTTCCCTGGGCTCCCAGAAGAAACATTTCTACCAGAGCAAGGCCTGGCTGCTCTTCAGGAGAGGTCTCTCCTTTGGGAAGGAGCAGGAGACTGATTCTTCACTGTGGGGTTGGCCCTTCCCAAGGCAAGCCTGGGGAGATCCTCGTGTCCCACTGACCCAAATAACCTGTCCTGCCTCGTGCTCAGTGCCTCCTAGACAATTTCAGTCAGATCCTCAGGAGACTTCTAGCTGGCAGAAAAATCCCATTAAGCCCCCTAATGATTTTTTAAAAGATTTTAATCTCTCAGCTAATTGCTCTGTTACACTTTCCCCCACACCATTCGCCCATAGCTGTACCCAGGCACTGTGGAAATAACAAATATGGGAAGGTCTTTGTAGGCACACAGTGTGGGGTGATTGTGAGTGGGCTGGCCCAGCCTCATCCCCAGTGGGTGCAGCTGTGAGCAGCAGGTGAGCAGCACTGACAGCAATGAGCCATGGAGTGCCCAGGGGCACTGAGCAGCCACCAAAGGGCACAGAGGGCACACAGGGGCAGGGCATCAACAGGAGGGGATAAAAGGTTGGGCTACAGAACAAGAAGGGCAGACATTTGAAGCCTTCTGAAGTGGAGAGGTGTTGCTCTGTATGGGTTGAAGTTTTCTGAAATTGTATGGTGATATCCTGTGTACCATGGCTGTCTCCACTGTGGCATGTGCTGTTGTATGTCAGCTGTACATCAGCTTTATCAGCTTTCCATAAGCACAAAAAAAGCACTGGCCACCAAATGCCTCAAGATCTGTGGTGAAAGAGGAGGCTGTGAAAGGCCCTGAGAGGTGATGCTGCAGGACCTGACCCTGCCAGCCCACCCAGGTCCCCAACAGTGTCCAGCTCAGAGCCACACAAGTGATGACTAATGAGACTCATGCTATCACCATCTGTTGATCACTCTTGGCTTCAAGCAGAAAGGTACAACTAGGTGTTTAAAACTAACTAACTAAAAATAATAAAAGTAGGAGACTGAGTCACAGGAAGCTGATCTAGAAATAGCAGAGCATTTCCTGGAGCCCCAGCTAGATGGGGCCTGGGCTGGGGACCTGGCTGGTCCCAGAGAATCTGGGCTTCCTCTCTGAACCTGTAGAGGGACAACCTCTTTGATATAATTGAAATGGAAAGTGAAGATATCCTATTTTTCCCTCTTTTATTAGAAGTGAAGTATTGCAAGTGTCAGTGTGTCTGAGAATTTACACAGGAGTCCAGGAGGAAGAGCTCTCAGGCCCTAGAGCATGAGAAGGAGCACCTGAGGAAAAGCATGGCAGAACCACCCAGGCCAAGATGCTTTTCCCTCCTGTAGCTGCTGCTGTGGAGTGGGAGGGAGCAGGCAATGCCCATCAAGTGAGCAACATAAGTACAAGGAGCTG